ATATATATATTTTTAAAATTGTCTTACGCAAAAATTATAGCACGCACAGACATGCGGTAAACTGCGCTAGACTCGCCTTTTCAGCAGCTACAAAATGAGTCAAGAAAACGGTAAAGCCAAAATATCAGCTTTTTGGGGTAGCCGGTCTCCTTAATAGTATTAAATATTATTTAAAAACCAGCATGATAAATACATAATATAAATTACAGAATAAAACCGTACGAAAGATTTCGGTGTAATGTTGTCAACCTCAGCCTGTTACTATAGTGTCAACATGTTAGTTGTTAGTATACTTGTTAAGTTGTTACCAGTTACCACTTACAGGTTTTTTTCATCCTTCAGTTTGCTTACAGTTATTTTTACACAGGTATTTTTATGTTTCACCTTCCCTATATGGATGTCTACTTTAATCTACCAATCTCAAAAATAATCCACATATATATACAAAAAAAGACTGATTTTTATATATGGATAATTTTTTAGATTAGTAGATCAAAGTTCACATCCATGTAGGGAAGGTAAAACATAAAAATAACTGTAACTTTTATCTACTGTATCTAACCCTGGGGTAACCCATACTAGTTCGGTTAGGTTAATTGCAATAAAATTGCATTGATATGTTTTAAAAATGTTTTATTATCATTAAATGTTAACGAGTAAATCCCAATAGCAGAACAATAAATATTTAGAGATTTCCAATAATTTTGGCCATTGTAGCGGCTAATGTAGCGCGCTACATTTTACTGTAGCGGTAGCGGTAGCGCCCGTTACAATCTAGTGGGTGTAGCGGTAACGGTAGCGCCCGCTACATTTAGAGCATGTAGCGGTAGCGGTAGCGCCCGTTACAATCTAGTGGGTGTAGCGGTAACGGTAGCGCCCGCTACATTTAGAGCATGTAGCGGTAGCGGTAGCGCCCGTTACAATCTAGTGGGTGTAGCGGTAACGGTAGCGCCCGCTACATTTAGAGCATGTAGCGGTAGCGGTAGCGCCGCTACATTTCCAAGTAGCGCTGCCCAGCTCTGTTAGCGCTGCATGTGCAAGCAACGCGACTCACGAATGCTCGGCCAGAGCCACGTTTTCGACCCACCTCACGGTCAGATTTCTCAAGCCACCAACTCCTCCGCCAGAGGAGGGCGACGTTGCTTGGCCGCAGCCGACAATGCACCACCAATAAATGTGTATAATAAATGGAGCCTATTAATGCCTTTATATAAGTACATAGGCTCTAATGTTTTGCAATGATATCGTGAAAAATATCAAGGGGAAATATATAGTGTGTGTAGGTCGCTGAATTTATCAAAAGTAAATAAAATGTTTCTACTTTTCGTATTTATTTCCCAATTATTTAAAAATATAGTCAGATGAAACTCGCTTGAGCAACAAACTATGTTTTAATTTGCTGAATTTTTGCAGTTAAGGACACTGTTGAATGTTGTGCACACTGTTGAATGAGATTATACGTTTGGTTCTAAGTCAGTTTTCTTCCCAACTTTTCATGGTTGACAGAAAATTTGTGAGAGTTGTTTATGGATAACTGAAATATACCTACTTTCAATGGACAACTTTCATATCGCTCCAATGTGGTAAGTGGTCCAAGCGAATCACTTGGCAGTCAAATATAAGCGAATTATATATACAAGACTAAATTTATTTTTGCTGCAACAATTGCACTTTATTTATGTACAAGTGTGGTTTCAGGCATAGTTGACAACAATTCCTTCTAGTCTAAGCTTATAGAATAGAATAGAAGTGCCGGCAATGAAGAAATAGGCCCATGGCCTGTTGCCGATTCTGGTACTTTTCGTGACTTGATTCACAAGGGATAAGGCCTTTGTAACCCGATCTTTCCATAACTGACGACTGATTGAGGAACAACATAAACATATATATATTTGGAAATCGGCCTTCGCGTTCGCTGCCTAATATTGTAAGTGATCGCAAAGCGCTATGCCTGATTTTTCAGGAACTGAATCAATTCTACTGTTGAATGTCACAACGGCTGACTATTTCGGCATAGATCCTTGTTGAATTGTTGAATTGTTTTAGTTATTTGTCTGGAAATCAAGTTCATGGCAATCATAAAGTGGCAATCATAAAATTCATGAAGTATTTTTGACGATATAAAGTGAATAAATTTTTCTAGTTTGGTGGAAATACGAGGTGAATTGCCGCACGTATTTGCTGCAAAACAAATTTCTATGTGTTCTTTGATACCATTTAGAGAGGCCATCATCATGCTCGGGTCACACGGGTTCTATACTATACTACAATTCATTAATTATTATTTATATTATAATTTATAAATTAATTATAATAAAATGTATAAATTAATTAATTAATTTATAATATATACTATAATTTTTGGGATCTGAATTGGAAAATTGGGTGGAAGCCACTCGTGAATCGGCAAAAACGCCCGTGAATCAGGCCAATTTCACCCGTTCCTCTGGCCTTTACCCATTTCCTTGATGAAAAATAAGAAAAACGGTCTATTTTCACTCGCAATTTTTTTAGATCACCTGAGAACAATCGTTTTTACCAGCGATTCTATGTAACTTCAGCCCAATATTCCGAATATGTGCCGAATCAAATAGAAATGAATAATATCCAAAGAATTGGTTGTAATATCTCAAGTATCTACTATCCGGATGTATATCAGCTATCTAGAAATTCTCGGAAGAACTATGCCTGAAAATATTTAAAAAACACGTTGATTCGAGCTTTAAAGTGCGAGAATATTTTAAAGATTGATTGATTGATTTTTGATTGATTGAAAGGAAGAAATACAAGTGTAAATTTGATATTTTTTATTTATATACAACTGTATACTTGCATTTAAATGCGAATCATCCTCATTGTAAACTAGCCCGTGAGTTAAATGGAACATGCGAATTTGATTAAGTAATTTAACTTTATTGCGCTATAATTCTTTAATGAGATAATTACGAAATCAACGATGATAAATTAATCCTTCATATCCGAAAAAGAATTCGAGTAGTCAAACACAAAAGAACAAATTATTATCATATTTTGAGTGTGATGCTAATTCCTAATCATGAATTTTTGGAAAAAATTAAGAATTTTGAACCTCATAAACGAATGCGTTGCGTCAACTCAATAATTTGCCCAGAAAATTCCTTATACCTGTCTTTTCCGTAAATATAAATTCTACAGTTTATTATTCTCTGGAGGCTTTAAAAAGAATGTTAATTTTACTACAAATAAATGTCGCGAAGTTGTTTTTAATAATTCTTTAACAATAACATTAGAATAATATATAAATTTCTTACTGCATACAATTATTATAGTTACACCAGAGCTGGGCAGCGCTACTTGGAAATGTAGCGGCGCTACCGCTACCGCTACATGCTCTAAATGTAGCGGGCGCTACCGCTACCGCTACATCCACTAGATTGTAACGGGCGCTACCGCTACCGCTACAGTAAAATGTAGCGCGCTACATTTTATCGCTACTTAAATATGTAGCGGGCGCTACCGCTACCGCTACATTGCCTTAAATGTAGAGCCGCTACCGCTACCGCTACTGAAAATGTAGCGGCCGCTAGTAGCGGCCGCTACATGTAGCGCGCTACTGCCCACCTCTGAGTTACACTTAAAAAAATGTTGATACATTGTCCCAATAGCGACGCGCTTCTTGCCCTTGTGCGGGTTAAACTGACCCAATTTTGCCCGGCAAATGGACGTATCTGTGCTATACAGAGAGTGTGTCACTATTTAGACAATATGTACCGTTTATTTTTCTGAGTGCAAAATGCAATTCGCGTCAAAAGACGCAAGGAAGCGCAGGTCTAACAGCTAGAACAAAAACCTATAATAAATTCATTATATTCAGATTTATGAATTAAATGTTAAAACAAGTCTATGTCTGCATGTGTAACTTTTACAGAATCTTAAATGCTTGAATGTCTTAAGGTTCTGTAAAAGTCTTAAATGCTACACGGTCTTAAATGCTACAAAATTATCGCTACAAAATTAATTCATTTAATATGTTCATAGAAGCAAGAGTAATATTGCGGAGTACATATACAAATTCAGCCTCTAACAAGTTTGCACAAATGCAAAACTAGCCTTCACTCAGAGAAATGTGCGAGATTTTGTCCAAATCGCGATGCACAGTTTCACCTTTCGTTGGCCGTCTTAAAACAGTTTGGCCCAGCGAAAGAATGGATCAGTGCTACGTGCAGAAAGTGAGTCACTATTTAGACAACATGTCCCAACCATTTTTATGAGTGATGGACTTCACACCAAGTCCCACAGAAAAGCATTTTGGCATAGCAATGGCGATTCAGAAGGATTTGCATATAGAATTTTAAATTATCCTTTAAAAACAAACCGTAATAAGATCTGCACCCCATCCCGAGACCCATCAAGTATGTAAAAGTGTTCAGACAAAACTATGATTGATGATAAATATAAACATACATGATAACCATTACCATTTATAACCATGATTGATGATAACCATAAACATACATGATAACCATTACCATACATAACCATGAACTGCCACATACGCGTAACAAACACACGCTTAAGAGTGAAACATTGTCCAAATATCGATGCACTTTTTGCTCTGAGTGGGTCGTCCTGACCCACTTTGACCCGATAAAAAGACGTCTCTGAACTATACATCCGCTCTCTGCTCGTGCTGTGGATAGGAAAGTGTGTCATCATTTGGGTAATTAATTATTAACAAATTAAATAATTATTAATTATTTTAACAATTAATTATTTTAATGCCTGATAAAATCTGGTTAAGGGAAAATCCTTCTAATAATGCATCCTTTTAATCGCCAGATGCCACTTGCCAAAATCCTTAACAGGGTCACAAACGCGTGTCAATATTTCCTAGCCTTATTCTACGTAAATTGAGCATATCTCTTTGTGAGGTTGACACAATTGAATATTGGATCATTTCACATTTCACATTTGGAATGTGAAATATTGGATAAATTTACACATTCATCAAGCTTATTTAATCTTATGTCATGTCACTTGTACACCAAAAGAACTTAGTAATGCTGGATGAGTCTTGTTAAGTTCTAATTTATTCTGAAGGTTTTTAAGTGGGTCCAATTTGACCAATAAAATTGAGTAGTCATTGAACATAAGTGTCTCATGGAGACTCATTACTATGCAGTAATTTTTAACGAAAACAAGGAACCCAACTTTGAGTGTCAACCTGACCCATTCATTTATCTCTGTTTCAGTAATCTATATCACAATAAACTATTTTGTGCCAAATTATGTAAACTTAACATGCTGCTTCCCATTTGATGTTTTACGAAAATCTAATAGCAAATTTTGTATTATGGATATAAGTGAAAAGATCCGTGAACAAGTACAAGTGTACAAGTTGTACAACAAGTGTACAAGTAAAATTAAAAATAAAGTTAATATTCCGTGAGGAAATATAGTTCTTCATCATATAATATTTTTTCATATTGAATTTGGAGAGCAAATTTCAAGAAAGCTTAATTACGTTTTGTTTATTCTCGTCCAGCATATTATATCATTCTACTCTTTACATACCAATTTTTATCCAATATAATTAATTTTATATTAAAAATAAATGGCCGGAGTTGGGGCGTTTGATCATAGGTGGTAGCGATAAAAATCTAAAGGTAATCCACTAAAATACAAACTATTCATCTTATGTTATATATTATAACAAACGTTACATATTATTATGATCAGTCGGCGAAAATTGTGAAACTTTCACAAACTTTGAAGGCACTTGAGCTTGTTATTCTATCGAAGTCATAATCAAGTGAATACTATATTGAACGTCAGCAATTCTTTGACTATATTGATTATTTTAAACAACTATCTATAAGAAGAACAATTCGACGTAAACACTTTAATACGAAAAGTTTTTTTCGATAATCTGTGGAAAATAAAGTCAGTGGGAACAGTTCATAATAGCCAATTGTTGATAATAAATAATAGTTCATTGTTGGCCACTAGTTCCTGGCATATGGTTGGTCATTTCGTGATAACAATTAGCAGGTAAATGGTGGTATAACATCTCCATTGATTGTATATTTTACCTACACTTTTTAGGTAAAATATATGACCTGAAGGAATGAAATGAAAAACTACTTAGCGCTCGTTAAGGCTCAAAAAGAAGCGAAAGGTTGAGCAGCTAATACATTAAATACTTTGTAGGTAATTTTAAAAATACTGCATTTATATTGGTTAATTTATCTCACATTGGTTAATTGACGTTCACTTGCGTACAAGATGCAACACTCCTTGAGATGTGGTAGTCCTCATTAAAACACCTTTAATTGTTCGAAAAATTTTAAACAATTTTCTTAAAAAAGATACTGAGGCATTTTGATTACCAAAACTCCAAAATATGTGTAGTATCTAAAAAACCTGTACTGGTGCACGTACTATTACTTATTACTATTCTTCTAAGATCAGTTGAGCGATAATTCTAAAGCTAAAATTCACAACGCATAAACAATATTCTTAAATTGAAATTGCTTCTGTCAAAATTGGTCTCCTTTATAAACAGCAAGGAAAAAAAAACAGAACAAGAAATTAAAGTTCTGATAGTTACACACGAGTATTCACCACGTGCAATTCGCATCGTAACGTTCCAGTTAACGCGACCATCAGTTATCGTCACGTCCACTGTTTTGCTCTCCCAACACCCTAATTTGGGTGGTTGAGGTCAAAATGGCCTTCTCTGGATACTCTTCCCTGGACAGTTGGAAATCTTCAGTATAATTGGAGGGTATAAACCTGGGTATGTCTTTAGCCGATTTACCTTCCGCATTCAAAGTTTCAATATTTCCGTTGATGTGAGTCCACTCACTCGCCAGCTTTCTGTTTGTCAAGGTGCCTCCTGGTCCCGTGAAAAAGGAAGCATCGCCTGTGGTCACCGTAACTTCATCTTCGGCATCGCTATCGAGTCCATTAGTTCTCAGATTTAGGTACTGTTTCTTGAAGTGATCCATTATCATTCGACCATTGTTTGAACCATCGACACAAACGTCTTGAGGTTCCATGGATGATTCTAGGACTTGTATTGTCGTGGTACCGCGTGTTTCAGGAGTTGATTGCATACTAGAATGAGGTGAAGATCGTTGATATGTAGGGGATTGTTGCAACTCCTCGCTTGTTGAACGCCAAGGGGAGGAATGCGTGAGCGATGTAATCGAAGCTCCTCGATCGCCGCTAATTTCAATATTAGAAATTATTCCACCTTTTGGTTCATCGACTTCCACTCGAGTCACATCGTAGTTCACTTCCAAATTTGTAGGAGAAATGTTGTTGGTTGATAATGATAGAGTGGGGTTTGATCTGACCGTGACGTTTGACTGGTGAATCGCCAATTTGGTAGAGTTGCTCCTCCTCAGGCAGGAAGGGATACCTTCAAGACTGGAAGCTCGTTGGTCCCGACGATAACTTTGAACGAAAACTGAATGACTGTGACCTTTTCGAGGGTTTTCAGAGTTGTGGCCGGCTGGAGGACGGAAGTCCCGACCATTGCTTGCATCTTTCACTGTCACTGTAGAATACCTTTCCACTTCCCTCATAGAGGTTGATGACCTTGGTAAGTTAGTCCTGCGAGCTCTGAATGAACTTTTCCTTTCAACTCCATGCTCTAACTTGAATTCCAGTGACGTTGCTCTTTCTCGCAGTGAATCATCCAAATAATTGGGGATATACGACAAATCATCCAGAGATGCGGCTTTCTTCTTCATTTCATCGGAATCTGAAGGGTATTTCTGGTTCTCAGTCGATATAACTGTAACCTCAGAGTTTTTCAAATTACTTGAGTCACTATCCCGTAGATCTCGAGGAAGTTCTTCATTTCCATGTTTGGTCGTCGACACAATGTAAACCCCATCTCGTGATGGGCTCGGGTTGGTTACAACATCATGTTGTTCATCAACAAGTTTTGATGGCATGCAACCGACAGAGACTTCTTGCGGTTGAAGTGCGGGTATAGATGAAAGTTCTTGGAAAAGTGAATTCGAAACTGTCACTGAATTTGGTGCGTGCGTTGAAACTCTAAAAGAATCAATTTTTCGATTATCATCGACCTCATTTTTAATGCCGTCTTCGGCATTTATTATGATCGATGATCCAACTTTGTTACCAGATTTTCTCTTTCGTTGAGCTACGGCCATTTCTGCCGCCAAGACCATAGCGTCTGAGTCACTATCAGATGAATAAAGAAGATTAGTAGCCACCGATTGGTCGACATAAGTTGCATTATTTTCATTTTGAGTTCCAGGATACTTCCCCTTGTCTTCAGCACTGGTCCTTTCCTGTGGACGTGAACTTTCTTCGAAAGAAGTTCTTAGGTCATCAAAACGCTGCCGCACATGCCCCGCGGAAGATGCAACAGGAATCGCTTTATTCATTCCAGTATTAACTTTTTCTTCAACCGCTGGTGCTGTGGAGGAAGAGAATAAGGAGTTTTCTGCAGCTGTTCTGTTAATGGCGCTGAGAACATTTCCTCCGATCTCAATAACATTGCCAGGGTAGGCGGTTTTTATTCTAACTTGCTTGGATGGCAAGTACGACTCGGATTCCGGCAAATAGTTCCTGTTGAGACTCGAGCACATTGTTTCATCATAATCATCATCATCATCATCGTCTGACGGGGGAGCTTCAAAGCTCGACTCAAAGTTCATTCGCAAAACAGAAACTGAATTTGGCGAAGAAATCGGCACACTAGCTTTTGCAGCACATGTGCCTGCATTTGGTATATTTTCTTCCATTTCAGTTACGTCTGACCGGGATGTGTCGCGTCGAGCGATGTGTTTTTTGAAACCACGAAAACCAAAGACGTTTCCAAAATCATTGAACTCTTGTTGCTTCTGGGACGCAGTGTCATTCTCACTGTCAAGTTCGTCGTCATCGTTGGAGCTTTGTTTATATGCAGATGAATTCATCTCTGTGAGATAAGTATCGACTTCTGGTAAATCACTTTCGGTGACTCTTGATCCAAAATTTGCCACTTCCACTATATCCGGTTGCACTTGTGCAAAGCGTCGGGATGATTCAGATCGAACTCCTGAATTATCTAACTGCAACTCGAAGGTTGATTTCTTTGTTGATTTTGGTAATTCAAACTCGAAGCAAGAAATTTTTCTTTCACCGTCAACGCTCATGTGGCTGACTTCGTGCCCGGAATGCTCAGGAACGATTGCATGAAGAATTACATCGGCTTCTATTTGATGTCTAACCATGGTAGTGATGTTCTTCGAGGGATCCAAAACTTTGTCGCTAACATCTGCGGTTTCTTCATCTGAGTCCAATTTCACGCCTATGCCACAAGCATCACGCTCGCCAGATGAATCATTATCAATTTCTTGTTCAAATCGAGGCATCGATTGGATATTGCTACTCGACGGTGGTTCACAAAATTCGTGATTTACGTACATGCCAAAAATATTCGACCGGTCGTTGGGTGACGATACCTTTTGTGCAATGACCTTCTTATTCACAGTGGCTGTTGACTTGGACGACTGTAAATGATCCTGATGTTCTCGTGTCGAGTCAAGTTCGACCTCTTCTGGTGATTCATTCCCAGATGTTGTTGCTAACTGTGGACTGCCAAATAATTGTTTTGTTCTCGAAGTTATTGCACGGCTTTCACCAGAGTTGTAAAGGCTGAATGCCTCGTCAATAAGCGCAGAATTTGAATCATGAGTTTTTGTCATCTTAGTGGCATTCGACAACGTATTGATCAAACGGATTGCCTCAGCGGTTCTTTCATCATCAGAGTCATCGCTGTTTTCCAGCTTTTCGGCCAGGTCAAGATCTTCATTAGGGTATATGTATGCATTTTCTTCGTTATGGGTATTAACCTCTTGCTTTTGAAGTGGAATGTAGGTAGTGGGTTCACCTCCAGTATCTGATTCTTGATAAGGAGCAGAATTAAATACCTGAGTTTCGCTACTCAAATCTCCTTTCATGTCTTCTTTTTCGTCCTTGTCTTGGCTTTGGCTCAAAGTAATATCTCGCGAGTAGTGTTTTATCTCTATGTTACTTGAAACCGTTTCCTCATCATCTTCATCATTATTTCTTTCCTTTGCAATGTCTTTTTTAATAGAAGCGGGATTTTCACCCTCGTTAGGAATTATTTCAATGGAAGTTTTAGCAATGGTGACCTCAACGCAAGCTTCGGGTGACTCTAAATTTTCCTTGCAACTTAGGGCGTTGTCCCCCCACAAAATTCCAGAGGGAGGTATGGAAGTATTCTCTTCATCGTCATCATTTTCCAGTGAGGAACAGCTACCGTGAGCTGTTGAAAGATGTTCAGCTTCGTTTAGTTCCTGTTCATGGACTTTCGCCACAGGGGAAATGCTACTCGGTGACACTGAAGAAATGACGAAAGAATCGAAAGATTTGTCCGGCGATTTGGGAGATTCAGTACCGAGGCCTTCGTCAGTGGCGTCAGTTATTTCTTCTTCGAGCGACGGAGAGTTTTCTCTCGAATGTGGCATGGGATGAAGTTCGCCAAAAATACTTGATCGCTTCAGACTCGAAGTTTGGATGTCCAAAGCCCGATCTGACAAGCTGCTTGGAAGCACACTGTAATCTGGAGCTGAGTTTACCAATGAATTTGGCACACCAATGATTCTTTCCGACTGACTGGCTTGAAGGGGTAACTTCATCACTGCCTCTGGCACATCAATAGTTCTTTCGGACAAACTTGCTTGTAATTTGCCATATGGCGATGAAGATTTTGAAGCAGGACCAGACTTGTCTATGGCTCTCTCTGATTTGCTTTCTTGAAGCGTCAATTTTGACACTTCAATTGTTGGCACATCAATTGTTCTCTCGGAAGTACTCGTTTGTAATTCCCCATAGGCTGATGAAGACTTCAAGGCTGAATCAGGCGAGTCAATGGCTCTTTCCGACTGGCTTACTTGAAGTGGCAACTTCAGAATTGCATCAGGAACATCAATTGCTCTCTCCGAATGCCGCCCCTGCTTCGTGTCTCTCAGCATTCGAGCGTCGGCCAGTTGGTCGATGGCAGTGTCGGATTTACGAGTGCATGACGCATCAGAATGACATACCAGGGCTTCTTCTTCACTCAGGTTCGATTTGACAGATGAGATCTGTAACAGAAATATTATTATTCGTGTTAGTCCGCAATAGCAAAATTTGTCGCGATAAACTCAAAATAGGGACATAATTGTATGCAACAATAAGAATTGTGATGTACTGAGTAAGAATTTTTTTTACATTTGAGAGATCTCCGCACAAATTCTACTTAGCAGTGAGTGATCAAGATCAGTTGAAATTATATTGCATATTTAGGTATGATAAACCTTAAAGAATTTTCAGATAACTGCGACTTGAAGCAATGATCAGGACTGGACTAGATCCCGACATACTGGATAAATAAGCATATGTATATTTCTATCAAAATTCGGGGACCGCCCAGACTTCGGCCAAATAGCCCTTCCAGTCGGTGCAAAGTTTTTCTTGGTCTAATGGGCCAACCGATCGAAATCAGTCACTGGTCAGAATCTCCTTTCCAGCTATATCCCTATCAAAATTTTGAGTTGGTGGCGACCCTGAATTGGGAACCGCCTACTACTCGAACCGAACGTAAATTAGCTTCTCGATGTCCGCTTTTTGATCTACATTCCGGTCCCCGAATCAGACAGCTACAAGCGCCTGGTCCTTATTCTGCCAACTCTTGTCCTACACTCAGGAGACTATAAAGTCGGCAAGGAGGTTATGACTATAGTCGCTGATTGCCATCAGTTGGCCAACTAGACCCAGAGTAACTCGATCCTAACGCGAACATAACAACTCTGGGGCAGAGGCTGAAGCATAGCCCGTATTTTGTTTGGGATAGTTGCACGAGAGTATGAGAAGGGTTGGCCGAGCCTAGTCATACCGAGCGAGCAGGCTGCCCAGACGCTGCCATTCAAACCCCGAGCCGAGGCGGACATAGAGAAGCTCCCTGATTCTTCGGCGAATCCTAATGCAGATTCGCGCTGAACTTAAAATTTTGTTGAAGCAATACCTTTGAGAGATCCCTATACCATTGTGACTTATCAGCAATCTAGATTTGCTTGACCATATATAATGCCAAATTTTGTTATACCTTCGATAGATCTCCGGACGACTGCGACTTGAAGCAAGATTCATTGGTTTTCAAGTCCACAGCTCGCGCTGAATGAGGCTTCCTCTTTGGGGACTGAGCGTCTGGTCTGACCTCAGGACTCTGCTGCAGGTGCAGTAGGACTGGGTAGGGGGAGGCGCTGCTCAGCAGGCTAACCGCGTCCTCTTTGGTGCAGTTCTCCATCACGACTGTCAGTGCCAGCAGCCTGTCACCTGGGAATGGGTTTGAAATAAAAAAATATTGATTGGAAGACAGAGCAAGAAGCGGTCACGTATGAATAGGTTTTAAATTATATAGGAAACATAATAAGTCAGCAAAAAAGCGATCATTTGAAAATAAAATTTAAATTAGATACAAACCGAGACTATAAAAGTCAGAGCAAACATACGGTTGCCTTGAAATAGGGTTACAATATATACTGAAAAACATTAAAGGCTGTCTAAATCAAAAATTTTATAGAAATGATAAAAGTAGATAAAATCAGTTACTGAGCAGCCTTAAAAGACGTAGATAAAATTTTAAAGGTTATTGCCTAGTGAAATTACTACTTACCGACTTTGACTTTGCCAGACAGTGCGGCAGGACTTTTATTTAGCAGCTCTTTGACATAGAAATAATATTCTGTGATGTATATTAGTGAAATTACCACTTACCGACTTTGACTTTTTCAGACAGTGCGCCATGGCCTTTATTTAGTAGCTCCTTGAAATAGAATTAATATTCCAGGATATATACTAGTAAAATTACTACTCACCGACTTTGACTTTGCCAGACAGTGCGGCAGGACCTTTATTCAACAGCTCCTTGACGTGTATTCCGTCTTTCAGGGACCCGCTCACAGTGAATCCTAGCCCAGCGAAGTCGGTAGCGCGCAGTTGAACGATATTATTCTCTTTGGATGCCTGCAATGACGCTTAAATTATTAATATATTATTACGATATATATATATATATATTTATTTACTTCAATCGATATTATTTCCCATGTAAATCCGTTTTTAAACACATTGATCCAAACTTGCCTGGTAAATGAGAATCAACCATCCGTTTAGAAATTTGCAATCTTCATCAAATGTTTAATGAGATGCCTTCAGTAGAGTTCAGGTAAAATCAACAAATATTGATTCTTGCTCATGAGAACCAATGATTGGTAATATTATAGCAATATTTTTTACAGGAAAACAAACCAGGGTCGGTTGAATTGATATATTGAATATCATCTTAATTTCTAAAATATAAAGATTGCAGCTGTCCGTTTTCATTTTAGTTGCCTGGAAAAGCATAGGAAATGCCTGACTTATTTTTAAGGTAAGTGGTATATTCTTTTTATATTCAAATAATTTGAAAAATTAAAAATTAAGTCGTTGCACCAAAACTTAAAATCTTGAATAATGTTAATTTCCAGATGCTAAGGTAGGTTATATCACAATGGAAATTCTATAATGGAATAGGTGAAACAAGTGAAATGTAAACACATGTAGGAGTGTATTAAATGTATCTTTAGAACGAATAAAGTATTTTAAATTTATGAAGAAAAGGCAATTATGTGGTAATGTAATTGGGATGCAAATTGTCAGCCTCTTTCACTTGTTTTAGATAAATTTAATGCGGAGATATAGGAAACGGATGCAACAAATACGTATAATGGTGCACAATAGTAATCGTTACGGAAATGGTGTGAATGTCCAAAACTGTTGCCGAGTTCTGAATTACACTGGGACTGAAGCCGCAAGTCACGGGTTCGAACCCTAGCAAGCTCGCGTAAATTCAGCAATATCACTTGCAGGCATCTAAACAGCCCAGCCATGGGAGTTCACAAGTCCCAAAAATCATTGAGATTCGAGCAGCGAGTCACAGGTTCGAACCCTAGCAAGCCGCGTAAATTCAACTGTTACTTAATCGTCACTATGTCTGTAAATTTACCTTGAGCACCCCGTTGACCTGGTCCAGGGTGTAGGGTAGGGTTGTGTTGGGGCTTAGGTCAGACGGCGATAGGCTTACGGCCCCTGTAAAATATAAGCATTTACTTTAGAAATTCAGGTATAGGAAATTTAAATTATTGAAGTGGTTGGTCATTATCTCTATGCAGCAGTTCCTGATATTTGCATTGTTAACATAGGTGGTAATTGAAAATGGACAGATTTCTCACTGTAATTAGAAAAATGTAAATTCTTCGTGAATTCATAGTCATAGTATTTCATACAACCACACCAGCATCATCACCATAACCATCAACACCACTCTCTTATACACATCT